CGGGAGAGCTGCCCAGAGCAGGCAGCGCCCGGCGAGCGGGAAGGGCGGCCAGCCCCGTGACAGAGGAGAGCGGGTTTCCCCTCTCAGAGGCCCCCCACTCAGAGCCACAGCCCTGTCTGACTGGGCTTTGCGCTGTACCGCTCACGAATGCTTTTCGCAGAATTTGATGGATTTATAGAAAAAAGCTTTCCTGTTCTCAGCCCAAGTGAGGTGATGCAAGCCCTGAGAGAAGCCTTGAAGCTGATCAAACAAGTTCCAAAACACCGATGCTTCAAGCACGAGAAAACCAAGAGCAAGGAGCCCAGAGGCTCGCAGGGACACAGAACACAAGCCACGCACAGCATACAGGAACACGCGCTGATTTTGAGCGTCTGCCAAGTTACTGTGAGCTGTTTGCATGTTATTTGTTCGGATTGGGGAAATCTAGAGGAGGACTACTTCCTCCACCAGTGTTAAGTTAAATATTTGAGATAAGACATCCTAGGAAATACTCGGGAATAGGCTGCGATACGAGGGAAGACAGCCGGCGTTGCACAATTCGCAGGCTGTGGCTGAGGCGGATCTACCGCCTCGGTGTCCCAGCGCCATTGCCTCCTCAGGCACGTCCTCCTGCACCGCAGCCTCTTGCCATCCGCGCACCACCCAGGTCGCCTGCTTACACATGAAAAAATACAAAGTTTTAATGAAAAGCCACTGAAGTATATCCCAACTGATTCATTGCTCACACCTATTTGTTTACAGAAGGGTAATTCAACTTAGTGAATTCTGCAATGAAAGAAAGATAAACAAGTCACATTATCTTGTTTTCTCTGTGAGATAAACACATGCATATGTGCAGTTGCCAGAGCTTAGTGAGCACTAAGCATATGGCCATGTCTGGAACTTATATCCACTACGTATTTTTTGTTTGCGTGGTACAAAATATGCACTAAGCTGTTGCCAGTCTGCTTCTGGAGCCAAGAATTAATATTAAATTGTGTTCGCAATTAATATGAAGACAAAGTAAAAGGTGACATTTCAATATTTTATTCAAGTTGGGTTTGGTTTTTTTATCCATTTTTAGTAGTGTCAAGTACAGCATTTTGGGGTCTAGTTCCACACAAAATGGAAGACTCTCTAAAAATGTACCCATTTAGTTGCTAAAAAAAAAGTGGTAATAACAACAAAAGTCCATTTTAAATTTAGTGATGCAACTACGTGATTGCAGTTACAAAGACTCTTCCCTGATTATGGCCCTGTCTTACAAGCTTTCCAGTCAGTGCAAGGGAAAGGAACCACAACACAGGACAGGTAGTATTGGCTGAGTCACATCAAACCTCCTCCGCAACGCACTTACACAAGGTGGACAACCTAAAGCATTCTGGAGACAGCTGTAGGTGCAAGGTAACAAAAAAGGACAAGCCATTTATGAAATGCCTATCTAAAAAAATTTTTTTTTTTTTAAAATCCCTTTTTCAGACAAATTGCACATTCCATTGTGAATTGAAACCTTAAGTGTCGGAACATTTTGCTTACGGAATTAACAGTACAATGTAGTGGTCTGCGATTCTTAACGTCTCAGTTTTTATACCACATTAACATATTCCTTGCGCAGTCAATATGCTAGTAAAGGTAATCAATACCTTCCTACTTCCTATCACGTGGCAGCTGACAGATGTGATGGGCAACAGCATTCCAAAAAAAAGCCTGGAATTAGGATTTTTTTTTATGCTTTTGTCTCCATTTCTTTCACAACATCATTTTTAAAGCTTAGCTGTCTTTAACCAGGACTAGCAGGACTGATACTTAGCAATACTTGCACCCCAGACATAAAACATTGAAAGGTACACTATATTCTGAAGGTAGCTATGCTGTATTTTCAAATTAGTGATTGTAGAATCACTCCTTATGCTTCAAATTCCAATCCTAGACCAAGTTTGTGACCACCTGCGTTGACATTCTTGCCATCCAACAAAGCTGACAATGTCAGTTTGATACCTGCGAAATAGAGAAAAGTGAGAGAAAAGACCAACTGTTAAAACTTCGAATGAACTTTACCTTCAGTAAGTGCAGTGTCTGTGTTACTGCTTTAATTTAGCGGGTAGCTAGGTGAGCGTAATTGGGCAGCTAGCCTTGTAAGGAGTGGGCGTTTTAAAACAATTCACAGATATGAAATCTTCCTGAATTATGAAAGTCATAATAAACCACGGTGATAGATTCTGCTTTTTATCGCTCCAAGTAATTAAAGCTCTGAGTCAGTTCACTGCTGCTGGCCTACTGATTAATCTAATTTTAGAGTCCAGCGTAATGAAAAATTGGGACCTTGATATGTACCCAACTTTCTAAACCACTTTAAAATCTAGGTATGAAAAGGCCTAAGCGCTGTCTACTGTAATAGCTCATGTCAATCTGCTTGGTATTCTGGCAGCAGATTTATTAGACTACATTAAAACCAATTTCACAGCAGTAAGATTGTCCTCTTCCTGAACCAGGGGACCTTGAGAAAGTCATGTTTTCAAGCAAAATAAATGCAGTAATAGGAAGACTCTGAAAGGACTGAAAGCACATTTACTTATCTGTGAAACACCTAATTGTAGATATATTTTGTATCAACAAAAGAGAGTATCTGACCGATCAGTGGATGGGGGTCTCTAATAGTCCTGCTTGCAAGAGTCATCCAAAATTAACAGAGCAGTCCCTGGAAAAGTTCATCACTGGGCTGCCAAGCAGAACAGCAGTGTTACAGAATGTTTCACGTTTTGTCACAAAAAAACTCTTTGATATTTCCAGACTAAAATATCACTTACTGATGTCTGAATTTCTTCCATGTAGACTTACCTGGCTTTAAAGTCTGAGTGTATCCTAATCCAATCAGACTGGAGTTGTTCACTTTAGCCTTAAAGGGAAAAAATACTCTATGTAAATAATTTAGTATCTTTCTTCAAAGTCCTTCCCACTTGAAAACTAAATAACACCTTTTAAGCAGGTAAAGAATTTCATCTTTTAAACCACAAAAACAAACAAACAAACAAACAAACAAACCCATAAAGTTAATTTTTCCTCAAAATCTCAAAACAGTGCCCAATAATACGATAAAACATTCTGTGTCACTTTTAAGGAAAATCCAATAGTTGTGCTCTCACGCTGCCAAAACCAAGACAAATAGATATATGTGCCAATGGGCCCACTATGCACCAGAGAACTGCATCAAAACTGTATTTTACTGATGTAAAGGTTACTTCACATTTCTGTTACAGGAGCCTGTTTTGAAATGCTTATAAATGCATAGTACTCACAGAAAAAGAGGCATCTGGGTCAATCTGATACTTGGCTGCTATTCCAAAGCGAGTGTTGCTATTACCGGCTGTCCAAGCAAGATTCACAGCAGTTTCCAGTTTATCATTCACCTTCTGGTAAATGGAGCCTCCAAATTCCGTTCCATCGTTCCTGGAAGGAATGCATTAGTCTGGCTTTAAACTGCACACCAAAACAATCATCTTTTTTTTCCAGTAAGATTTATATTTGCAAAACATTCACTTACACCTCATTTAATATCCCTGTAACAAATAAGATAGAGACATTAGGCCAGATTGGTTATGAAGTCGTTTTTAAATGCTTAAATTCATTGATGGTTACTGTATTTCAACAAACAACTTATGAAACTGAAAAAAAGCCACGACAAACTATCAGAAATAGACTAATGATGACAGCTTCCAATTTTCCCTTCTCTCTAGATGGGAGTCTTTGTAGTAAAGAGATTTATTCTTCTCTGCACATCTCTGAAATAATTCTCTTCCCAGGCGTACGTCTCCCTAGTGCCCTGAAAGGGCTGCACCCCCATCGCTGAGCCTGAGCAATCATCCTAACGCTGCCTCGTCAGCATGCTTGCACCAGACACAGATGAACTGTATCAGAAGTGAAGATGCCAATTTAATGTCCAAGTCTATCGGCTTTTGCAAATGAATACCATTTGCAATAGTCCTTATGGTACATCTGTCCTATAGCTATCTCTCTCCTAGAAACTGAAATGACGTTAATTTTACTTCGCAGAGAGCACTGGCCAACAGCTGAATGATGACAGCCTTCTACCACTGCTACCGAGTAGCACAACTCCCAATTACTGCTGACACCAATGTCACATAGGGGATAAAGTGTGGTAAATAAAATGCAAAACGTTAGAGCATGCAGATCATAAAAACAAGAGCAAAAGACTTCTAAAAGCCTTGCACTCCTTGTAAACCAGTGAGCATCTGGATTTCCATTTTCGCTCATTTTCTTAAAAGAGGATACAAACGTATTGCGCAAAATGGGCTTTAAACCACAGGAAGACCTCTGCAAATAAAATACTTATGATTCTTTATGAACTAGGAAATAATCTGGTTCCAATTAATAGCATATTCCAAACCTTATGAACAGGGCCAGATTTAGAATCTCTCCACTTTTACCCCTTTGGCCTGATGTTCCGTAGTTCATAACAGTTGCACAAACAGTAGTGATATGCCTATTTAAAAGTTCAAGCGATAGCAGCAGCCTTTTAAATTGTTAGAGCAATTCTTCCAGAAAAACACTACAATACTTACTTCAGATAAGACTGAAGCTCACATATAACTGCATGTGCTTGGCTCTCAAGAAAAGGAGGGATTAAAAAGGACTGAGGAGAGCTGGTTATACAGGCAGATTTTGTGCAAGGTTCCCACACAGCTCTGTCTTGACCTGCAACATTAGGGGGGGGCGGTCTGAGCTATGCTTAAAAAACGAGGAAAGTCATATTTAGAACTAGAAATTATCCAGCCCTACCTCCTTTTACTTATTATTTATTATTAAAAAATAATAATAATAAAAAAGTCAAACCTCCTTTTAATTCTAATAGTAATAATAACGCTTTTCAGATGCAGATTAAAAAAATACATTATCCCCCTACGAAAATTAATATATCTGAGGCACCATTAAGGAAAGTAACTTGCTCAACTACCCAGCTGCTCTGTGTAAGGCCAGGAACACAAGCCCCCGTTTCAAGCCCCACCTAGCTGAATGATCAGCTCTGCCACAGCACCCCTGCGAAACACTGAACTGCCTAGATACAGCAAGCGAGCAGGCTAGTGATGGGCGTTCCACACACAACTGTTTCCAGGATAATATAAAAACTCTGACACGTTTCAAAGCGGAAACACGTCAAATACCTAACTAGTCTATTAATATCAATAAATAAGATTTCTATTCATATCACACATTTATGGGTTTGCCTGTCAATTGGTAGAGTACGAATATTAAATAAACAAACAAGGCGTCCTCCTGAAGATGATTTATCATCCATGTACAGTAACAGCAATCTACGAATCAGACCCTCAGGAGGCCAAGAAACAGTACAGTAAGATCTGAGCCCCTGCTGCTGTTATGAAGTTATTTTCTGCTGTTGCTTTTAATTAAGAGTAATAATAATTACAACATTTTCTAGCAAAAGCCAATAATACAATGTTTTGAACTGCTACAGTATAACAAAGTTGAAAGTCATTGTGCTTGAAGGAATAACTCCTAAGGACTGAGTGGAGGGGGACCCCGCATATTGTTCTGATGAAAGTTTTCTGCCCACGTTTTTGTGCCTTGGCAATCCTCCAGATACGCTGTCTGAGCTGTGAAGGTTCAATTGTTCTGTAAGGCAGTGTGAGCTTCCTAAACCAGATCTCTGCAAAACAGCATGAAACAGAACCGAAAGCCTTTGAAGAAGCAGCTCCAGGAAGGCAGAACAGTTGTGCAGCCCCGAAATGGGAACAGCCTGCAACAGCTCTGCTACATGCAAAATATCCAATTACCCAAGGGAACAGGAAAGGGGGGGGCGGGGGGAATGGATTGGGGATTGCCTAATCTTAAAATACTGTCTTCCCCAGAGGCATAAATTGCTTTTTTAAGAGCAACAGGAGACAGAGAAATTAAGGTTTTCATGGAATTTGGTCTTGGTTTTACACCATATCCCTTCCAGTACTAAAATAAAACATATCCCTTCCAGTACTAAAACAAACGCAGTCCATATCTCTTCCATTCATTCCCTTTTGCCTATTCGTGTTCATCTTCTGATTAACTCTTTCATCTACAGATCAAACCACCATTTTGTTTGATTTTGACATGTGCAAAAGGCATTGCTTTTATTTCAACTTTCACAAAGAATATTTTTATAACCCACTTGTCTTATTATTCCGCTAAGAGATTCTAATAATCCTTATCTCTTAGAAAGATAGACACTGGATACTTGGGTGCTCAGTGAGTTCCAGTTCCTTTCATCATAAACTCCCTCACCCACATAATTCAAAGAAAAGTTCATGCAACTAAAAAAAAAGGCAGCTTGCCATCTTAAATGAAGAAGTAATTTGAAATCCACCATTCACTCTTTCACCGTTGCTGAAACTCCATCCCTTTCATTGCTCTAGTAAGCAGCAAAATCCTTTCAAATTCCTTTTTAATGCCCGTCTGCCAATACTTACACATTAGTATGAAGCTGGAATTCATCGGTCTTATAGCCAACAGCAAAGTTGCTCTGGGTTACTCTAGACTTCGTTGTCTCAAAAGTCATTTGGTAACCTGCCAGCCACCCCTCGTAGCCAACCACCAGGGCTCCACGTATTGAAGGACCAGCAATATCAAAATCCATGTCGCAGCCGATGTTGATGTGTTCCCTTTTGTACCCTGTCTTAACTTTAGCACTCTTCTTCCTAAAGAGAAAAGAAAGAATCTTGTATCTTTGAAAAGGTACGCTTGTAGGTAGCAATTCAATCAAATCAGCTACTTTAACCGAGTGTAATAGTTCTTGAAGACAAAGTATGCGTACCTGGAGAGCCAGATGGTATGTCACCTTCTTACCTTTCACATTTGCAAAACCCTAATTCAGCTACAGTGAATTATTTGCAGTCAAGGAATAAAATGCGGTGTGGCGCCTCACTAAGCACTTCTGGGCTGCGTTCTGAAAAGCAGCAGCACAATAAGCCAGACGGGAGGTGACGAAACCAAACCCTCATCTCCAACTAATCTGATGGTTCTGGAAGTTTGGTAGATACAGGGAAGGGAAGGAAACTGGGGCAGTTTACAGGTTGGCCACAGAAAGTCAATAGTAGTTGGCCTGTCCCAAACAAACAATTTTTAAACAATCCTAGTGAACCGGGTAATTTCATTTACTGTGACAGACGTCAAGAAATCACTACTTTGTCTCCAGCTTCCTGAAGGAAAGTCTCTGCTGCTAAGGAAGTAGGCTGCTTCAGTGGCTCTGACACCCTGTTTTCCCCTTAGGACGCCTTATGAAGTTTAATGGTTACAGCCATTAGAAAGGCTGCCAGGTTAACGCAGAAATAAACTTGCCCGAGTCACTGGTTTCTTTTTATACTGTTGGCCGGAACAGTGTTTTCTCATGTGTCCTGAGGTCGGTTTACATCAAGGGTGCAGACCCTCATGAGGCAAGAGAGTTACGTCTAATATATTCAGCTACTCTTATTTAAGATCTTTTTCTTCTCTTTTTACCTTAAAAGTGTCTTCTGTCTTTGACCAAATCTTTTACTGAAATCTTTCTGGAAAAGTCAAGCTAATTTGAAATTTCAAAACAAGCTTTCACTTCAGCTAGCAAAAACAGTCTCTAAGATCTGTTTCAATGCTGTATCAGACCTACATAGAGATTGCTCTCTTTTTTTGTTATTATTATTATTATTTTGGACTCGGGAATTTCTTGTGTTTTGCAAAATCAGAAATAAAGAGCAGGAGTGCCAAAAGCGCTCAGCATTCGCTCATCTGCAACTTCTGTAAAAGTCAGCGGTACCTCTCGCACCAATGTCAACGGGAACAGAGGCAAGCTAACATGGAGCGCTCCTAAAAATGACACTCCCTGTTGAAAGACTCATCACAGCCAGTGATAAGGAAGGGGGAGAGGGTGTCTCATATTCAGAGATGATGCATCCCTGTTAACCTAAACCAGGTCACACCAGGATTGAATCTCACTCCATTTATTCAAATCATAATAGTCCTCCCACAAGGCAATCGTTATAACTCGGATACTACAGTGTCTGTGAAGTGTCTAAGAAATAGCTATAGAGCTGTAACTTGTCATTCTCATACAAGAGTTTTTCTTTTTTATTTCTTTAAGAATCCTACCAGTTAAGAAATAATTATCAACAAACACTAGAGATTATTCTGGTTAACAAATACAAAAATATCTAGTGAATCTAGAATTAGGAGTGGACTGGAAGCAGTTGACAATGCAGGACACGCAATCTAACAGGGTGAAACCTCCGCTGGGACTATAACCCCAGTAGCCTGCAGTGCAGCGTGCTGCTCTGGGAAGCTAATGTGCAGAATATTTTGACTCACTGGCAGCACTGCTTGCAAAAAGATAATCAGAGGGAAAAAATAAACCAACATCTAGACCTACAGCTGCTGCTTAATCCCTCTGGCCCACATAAAATGTGGCATCCAATCGCTGTGTCAGAAATACTCATCCACCACCAAGGCACGCTGTGGCCAGCAAGAATTCAGATGATAAATTCCGCTCGGGAGAAGAGCCCAATTACTGTGTCGACTTATTAGAGCCGGGGCCAACTGGCTCCCGGAGCTTGTTAAGCTCTGCATTACAGCTGACTTGTTTAGCTCTTTTATTCAGACGGTAGCTCATCCTCTGACATGGCCAGAAATAAGCAACAGGGGCACAAACAAAACCTCTTCTTCCTATCCTAATTCTGACTATAATTTTGAAGTTACTGTATTTAAAAGTTTGCTTGCTGTAGTTTAGGATTAAGAAGGGATTGTTAATACTAAGATTTAAATCAGAGGTACATGATTTCATCATACACAGGCTGATTATTAACTGCCTTCATATCTTAGAACAGAACAAGTAAAGCAGCAAGACAGTATTCTGGAAAACTAAAATTAAAAAAATGCCTTTTTTTGTCACTTAAGCTTACTCTCTTCTTACCCAGTGTTAGGAGAGAAGGAGGAATCAAAGGTCAGCTTCAGGCCACGTGCAAGCTAAACAGAAAAGAAATTCACTGGTTGGATTTATAATTAGAGATTGTCATAAATTCATCTGTAAATTGCATCTTTTGAGCCAAAAATTACCTGGTCTTCGAGAGTAATCTCGGTGCCTAGCGTGTTATCGGTGTTCCACTTTTCTGTGAACATCAATCCATATTCCACCCATTTGTATTTTGTTTCCAAACTACCACTAACTTTGCTCGTTTCTGAGTTTGCTGAACCTGAGCTTGTAAATTCCTAAAAGGAAAAAAAAAAAATATATATATATATACACACACATAATATGGGAAATACTTATACTTGCAGAACATATTAGTTGTTATAATTTGGGATATTATTCAACACTGCAGAGCTCTCAGAAGATTTAAGAACATGTTTGCTAGTCATTAATATCAACACACTCTTGCCCCACAAAAAAATTCAGCGTCAGAGAGAAAAAGCATGGCACGCTAAGGGAACGGATACGGGACAGGAACGTGGATAGCCCTTACCAGCAGCGTAACACAGAACAAGGTGCTAGTCTGTACAAGGGATATCTGTGAATCAGTATCCAAGTCTGCAAATGCTTCACAGAGATGTTCTACATATTAGCTCCAACACACAGTTACATTGCAACTATGCTTGTTTAGTGACTGCTAAGAAAAAGAGCATGCAGCACATTTAGAAACGATACTGTCCACAATTCTGACCACAGGACACGGAGGAGTCGCGAATCACAACTGCGTGCAAGCTCTCCTTTAAAACTGATTATTAGCCCTGGGCAAAACATTATTCCGAAATGCTCCTTAATAGACCCCCAGAGAGTTTGTGCCCCATGCGAGCACAGAGCTAAATCAAAACCTTTACAGAAAGAAATCCATGAGGGAGCACAACCTCTCATAACTGGAAACCAGCGTATTTCTGCTTGTTCAATCCAGCAAGGCAGGAGGGAGGCACTGACGCTTCCTCCCAGCACAGGCCATGGTGAGGACCTCAAATAGCAACATAATTTTCATAGTAAGCAATTACTATGGTTGCATAGCCGCCCTTCACTGTATCTCCTACTCTAATTTGTGCACGGTCTCGTATGTAACACAAAAATTATAAATGCAAACTAACTTGCAAGGTTATATCTGAAAAATGATAAGGGGAGAGTAAGGGATGCGCATATACTTTTAAAAAGAAATACACATTAAGCACAAGAACATTGCAATGTTTGGGATTTCAATGTGTTTCCAAACTCACCAGTCCATTTTCGGATTTTGTTTTCAAATCAAGTTTTATTAACCCAAAACCTAGAAGATGAGTAAAAATTATTAATTATATATATGTTAATTTGAAAAGCATTTCTGATTTATTTCTTAAAACTCCCTTCTAAATCACCTGTGAACTATTAAAAAAATAAACCAAGGGTACAGTTATCAAACCACGTGGTTTTCTGAAGAGGTTATGCAGCTTGTACTCACTTCAGATAGCACTTGACTGATTAATCCTACGGACCTCAGCAATATAATTGGGACCAAATTAGGCAATAGTGTCTGTATTCATACTGAGCAGCATTTTGTTTATAAGCGAACTACTGACATCAGTGATCCCATTCATGATAGAAGGCAACAGTCAAAATACAACACAGAATTTTCTTTCAAAACAAACAACTGTCCTCTGGGGAACAGGAAGAATTTTGTCAGAAGAAAAGTAAGTTACCCTCCCTTTCCAGACAGCAAGGGCAATGTGAAGCCACAATAGAAAATCCTCTGGATTCTAATGGAAATTATTGGAATATTTATCAGGGAAAAGTAATAAAATCCTAACAGTTTCAGGAATCAGGTAGACAGCAAAAGACCAAACTTATTTTGGCTTTATTTACCATATCCTTTGGTGAAAGGGAAGAAAAGGGAAATTACAGTCTTCAGAAACTTATTTAATTCATTTATGCAACAAGAAGCTTAAGCCCATTTCAGCCAGTTTTATTTTCTACCCAGCACCTATCAATTAAATACAGCCTGAAGAAAGTCGCTGCAGCAAACAGTGTGATTTGATTTTGCTCATTAGCCAGCAGAAGCAATTACCGTGCATTTGCCACCCAGGCTGAGAAACAGGTTGCAGAACAAATATATATTAAAAAAAAAAAGAAACCGTCTATGCCTTTCCAAAGAGTTAACTGTTGTTCTCTTACCAGTATAACTGCATGAATGAACAACTTTTTTCAAAACTGTTTCTCAGAAACGTTTCTCCTGTTCCTGGCAACAGATCTATACATTCCAATGCAAAGCATTAGGGCCCCCAGTCATCCTCTCGGGAAATCTCACCAGGACAAGCATTGAGCAGCAGGAGCATCTCTCTCCCCCTAATTCAGAGCAGCAAATGGATAACATTTATGTTAGCAAAATTGACAAACTGTCATTCTTCTGCTTCAGTTTTCTTTGACTTTGCTACTGCTGTTAATGGGTTAAGGTGTCTCCTTAGACATTGACCTTTAAGTGTTTTTCTCTTCATTAACTGGGAAAAAAATGAGCTTGCTGAGAAAAATTAAGACTGAAGGGATGCTACAGTGTGAAGTCAGGCAGGCAGGAGGGTAGCCACAACCCCGCTGCAGCAGCCAAGTGCAGCCTAAGAGCTCTCTGCCAAGCCTGGAGCGAGGCGCCAGCCCAGTGGTGCGCACACTGCAGAGGCAGCTTTCTCCACCACATTTTGTTCAGTAGGGATGCCCACGTTGCCATGGAGGTCCTCGCCTTCCCATCTTCAGCAGGCCCTGACCATTCTTAGTTCAGTGGCCTCCTGCAAGAAATATGAACGCATCCCATTTTCTTAGCCACTGAGAAAACCGTCTCAGCATATACGGAGGAGAAAAAACAATCCCGAGAGGAACAAACCAACAATTCTACTTTCTTATCCAAGTACAGTAACTTGTTCTAGGGAAGCAAAGTCAAACAATCTGAAATGGTGTACACCTCCTGTCTTTATAGACAAGACTCCATAATTTTAAAATAGCAAAGGAGCTAAATCATACTTATGAAGCTCAATACCAGATGTTGCACTAAAATTCCATATTCACAAACTTTTTGGTTATGCAAAAGTAATAAGCAGTTTATTACACAAGCGTGCAAACGCTTAAAAAAATTGCCTGCCAATCCTTACTCCAGACTATTCAACATTAGCAGAAAACTATTCCTTTAAACCACAAACGAAACAGCTAGTTCTGAACATGGGGGGTGCTCTTAATAGTCTTTCTGGCTGTAGACTTGGGTGCAGTTCTCTGGGCAAGCACCCCACGAATATCAGATAGGGAGCTGCAGCAGCCACTCAACGCCTCAAGCACTCCATCCAACAAGCTGTTGCCTGTTAAAGCAGGATATTGCTATTGCATAAATGAAGAATCCCTGTCCTAGAGGGAACAAAACAGATCTGGTGGCTAAATAAAAGCCAACAGTCTTCTGAGAACATAAATAAAGTAGGATACAAGGGTGCATGGTATGATGTAGCTTCAGCTGTGGACACTACCCAGATGCATCAAGAAGTCCTGTCATCTCTTTCCAGGTATACTTCAGTAATAAGTTGCAGCCCCAAATATGTAAGCAGCTAAACAGTTAAACTAAAAAAAAAATTCCATATTCCAAAGCAGTTTTAACTGCTTGTATTAGACCTAAATGTCTCTCTTCATTTGTTGTGCAAACATGAAAGCTGGGATGTAATGTTTACAAGCACCTCTCTCTACAGGAGAAACCATTCTAACAGTTGATCAGATGTGGGTCTGGGAACACAGAACCACAGCCTTTAAAAAAAAAAAAAACAACAACCAAAAACAAACCAAAAAAAACCCACAAAAAACCACACACACACACACACACACAAAAACCAAACCAAGTATTAACAGATTTTTTTACGTAATTCCTCTGCTCCGTATTAAAGTCACTAGAAGCAGAGCACAATGACCTGCTTGGAGATCGTACCTTAAAGCCAGAGCTAAGGCAGCACTCAGGAGAGGGGTGGGAGGCTTCACCAAGGGCTGTATGTGTTCAGGAAAGGCTTCTTCCCTGCCAGAGCAGCCCGGTCTCATGAGAACCCTCTGATGGGTATTTCCATCTAGCGTCATCAAAAATTTAAAATGTTAAAAATCCCTACACTTGAAAATCAAATAAGCATTGCTTTGAAAGATAATGCACTGCTCTGCCAGCTGCACCTTGGAATCCACCAGATATATTTTATCAACAGTCCCTTTGAGTCCCTTCATAAAATCAAAATATTTTCTTGAAAACTGAATGCTGTATGCTTTTGCTTTGGATTTTGTAGGTTATGTTTTTCCCTTACCCAAGCCCATGAAGCCAAGTTTTGCTCCCGCTGACGTTTGTGTACCTGCACTGGAGGTGGCCAGGCTCGGCAGGTGGATGAGCTGTGGCAGGCTGCTCCGCTGCTGCAGCCTGGGCTGTGGCTGTGGGACGGTGGGAGGTGTCGAGATCTCCCCACTTAGGCAATTACTATAATTAAGGGACAATACTGAAAGCCAAATCCCTGCCGGTTGCAAGGCAAATCATGTAATGCACACAGAGCAAGATGTTTAAAATTGCTGAGTGTGGAAAACACTATGAGCTAGGTGCATGGTGGTTAACCTTGCTGTTGTCAGCAAGAACAAAAATAATTATTTCTGTTTGCACTGGCTAATCAGAAGCCTCTTGTTTAACAGATGGAAAACAAAACTGATTACATCCTGTGCGAGCGCGGTTGTAAGACAAGCATGCTTAACAAGGATTCAAACTCTTAAGGGATCAAGGAATGGCCGTGGCCAAGTGCCCTTGCTTTTCACCAGTGAGATCCCAGCACATTAACTCAGATTAGGTTAGGGCTGAAATTAATTCATTGCTTTTATCCTTGTCCAACTGTGCAAATAGCGCAGAGTGACTGCGCACCTCAGCTCCCGCACAAAGCAGGCCAAGTAGAATATATATAAAGTGTTCTATAAGGAGGAAAATATTTTGATTTTCTTGAGTAGGAAGTACTGTAGCGCAAGTCATGACCGAGGAAAACCTGAACTGAGGAGTTAACTGTGAGCACCACCTCCTCCATGAATGCCTGATTTATAACTCCATAGGGAGAAAACAGGGAGCTTCCTTTGGCGCTGCAGGACCCAAGAGCCAGCCCTAGTGACGATTTCATTAAAGACAAAGGACTTCCAGCAGGCCGAATTTCAATATTTTCCAGTGTCACAGATGGCAAAGTTTTCACCCCACGATGCAGTTCTGGGCAATTAAATCAAGATCAGCCCAACAGGCAGCAGCCCCCGAGGTGCCCCTGGCAACTGTAGGGACTGGCTGCAGCCAAAGGAAAACTCATCTCTGCTTGAAAACTCTCTTATGTGCCTAAGTTAAAGCTTCCGTACACAGGCTGATCAACTTTATGATATTTACATGAGGGGAAGAAGCAATTGAAAAATTTAAGATAAGAATAAAATCCATTATAAGAATAAGATTCTCATGAAGACAGTGGGAGTCTATCAGATTCAAGGCTAAGAAAATAAAAAGGTTGGATTTAACCTTACTCTAGCCACATTTTTTCCTAATAAATTTGAACTCATGTACCATTTCTTGATGGTCACAGTAGTTCTGAATGTTTCAGCTCCCCGTCTCCACAAGTGGTACCCCTGAAAAGACGATAAATGCAGAGCTGACCCAGAACAGCTGCCAGGGACCTGTCCCACCAGCATGTGAGCTGGGAGGGACAGACAGCATCGGGGTACGAGACCAAGTACGGTCTGTCTGCATGGGGGAAAAAAGCACACGAGGGTCTCATGCCTCAAGATCAAAAAAACCTGACTAATTTATTTCTCATTTATCTCCTTCATTTAAGGAAAAATTATTCCTTGGTATGAAGCAACTTTTAAGCACCTTTCTGGACTCCCAGCCCGTGCAGTGTCATTTCCCAACCAACATATGTTGTATCAATACATAGACCACGAAGGACGGTGCTTTCGCTCTCGGGCAGAACAGGGCCCAGCTCTCCGCGCGCCACGGCAGGCTGGCCGGAGTCACCAGCTCCGCACAGCGCCGGCATCCCTGTCCCACCGTCCCACATCCCAGGCTGCCAGGTGAGCACGGTGCTGGGTCCACAGTTTGGGTTTTATGATTCAGATTCCAAACCCATTCAAGTCATGACTAAAGTCTGCTTTGAATCAGGTTCAGAAGCCTAACTGTGCAGAGATTTAAAAACACACTTAACCGTAAATACATGAGTAGTCCCACTGAGGCCAAACATCAAGTTCAGCACATTCACAAGTCTTTTGAGAAGCCAGCATAAGCACATGATTTGTAAATACTCTGCATTATGGGACACAATATTTAACAACACTTTTTGCCCCAACTTGCTACGGTGCCGACATCATATAATCCAAGGACCATTATGACTCAAAATTTAAGACTCTGGAGTCCACAGTTTCTTTCATGCAGGTATTAGTAAACCTGTGCAGCGTCCCTCTGACACTCGCAGGATCACAGCCTTCCTACCGCAGCTTTGCTTTTGAACTACATACGCGATGGAGCAGATGTAAAGATCGGTTTATGCAGTATCTCTGTAGCCCAATAAACACAGGAGCATAGAGGCGATAAACCCCTTAAAAGCAAATGTAAATATTATGATTTAGTCTATACTAATATTTATGGAATTAAAGAAAGAAAGAGCCTGCTCTTAATTGCGTGGGTATAAATTAGGAATGACAAGGTTGTACAGAAACCTCTGATTAAACTATCACACGTAAGTATCAATTAAACAAAGTTGGGGGATATTGCAGCCTGCTGCAGCTACTGTACTTACTAAAACTGCAAGGGAAGAACAAAGAACCGCATACCCCATACGTTAAATTAAACATTCAGGTTAACTATCTGTTTCTTTCCAATACCTGCAGAGAAGGAGATGCGCAGCACTGCTGGCCCACCCCCTGCCACCAGCACGGCGCAGGGGCAAGGCTGGCGCGCGCCCCGGCAGAGCGCTCAGGAAGGGACACGTCCCTCGCTCCCGGCCCCGCTGCAGCGCCAAATCAATGGGGATGACTAATTAAAACGGCATTTTGTCTTCCAGCACAATTTGACAGCTTGCTACGCTCACGCTGATGAGGAGCATCCGCTGCACCGGAGCTCAGGCTACGGAGCCAGGGGATGGGGTTTTCTCTGCCTGGAGCAGATGCCAAACCCAGGAGGGCCTGCACTGTGCTTCCCGACTGCATCCCTGTGCTTCCCGACTGCATCCCGCCCAGAGCCAGGCCTGGGGACATCGCTCCTGCTGCTATGGCAACCGACAGCAATGTCCCAGACACCATCACACCCCCCCACAACCCCTGAAACCGGGGCAGGAGGAAAAGGTGCAGATTGTGGATCAGCGTAAACCTTCAGCGGAGAGTGCGGGGGGGAGGGATTATTCTGGGATGTCTTTTCAGTAGTGCAAGAGCCCTTTTTTGAAAGAATTCTGACAAAATTTCATAGATGAAATGCCAGGAGACAGGTGATTATTCAACCATCTGCTGCACCGAACAAAATAAATGGCAACACGCTTCTGATCCTCACTAGACCATCTGAGAAACGAGACGGGATCTGTTTCAGCCAGCATCGCTATAAATATTCCCCAGAGACACAACCCTGCGTCGGTCAGTAAGGATGAGTCAGCTCCACTTCGTTTTTGAAAAAATTTTGTTACTATTTTTTTTACAAATGCCCAAAGACTGAATGAGTCTTTCACCCTCCAGCAAGAGTTGTTCCCAGCGAGGGCTGTGACGAGGCAGAATGGAGGCAGTTGCACTGCTGCTGCTGTGGCCGCACGCTGCTCCCTGCTTGGTTTGGGAGGGGAAAACTGAGCCCTCAAGATTTTTAAACTGACGTTATTTCCCCCATGAAAAGAGCTACATTTTGAGAATAAGCAAAATAAAATGAAACAAAAATCGGTTTGGCTGCTCGCAGCGGGGTTTGGGGTTTTTGGTGCACGTCAGGATGAGCTTGCCAACCTGCAAAAAAGATGCCAGGGGCGCGGACGCGCGCGGCGGAAGGGATCTCAGCGCTAAACCGGGGCGAAATCCGGGCAGGTGCGGCCACCCACGACCTTCGCTCCCCCGGAACGTGAAAAACGACCCCCGCTTGCGGAAGCGTTTGTCGCGGAAGCGCCGCGCTCCGCCGTGGCCCAACGACCTCTAAACCCCCGCCGCGGGGCCGCCGCCCCCGGC